AGATGGTTCCAACCCTTGAACATAAGAGAGTTCACCCAACAGATTCCAAATGACCATCTTTGAATGACCAAATTTTTGTTTACTCCAGGCGGAGAGACGTTGCCTACATAAATTCAGATTAGAAATAGCATTAAGCATTGCAGAAATTCGAATCCCACAGGTCTAGCAGCTTTTAATCACCTCTTCACATTCAGGGCCATCCAACCACATGAATTCAAACTGGAAATGACACGAAGCCCTCTTCTGATTAACACCAAGATCAATAACAATAGGGCTATGATCTGACCCTATCCTTACCTAGTGGAGAACATGGGTGAAAGGGAAAAAGGAGCTCCATTCCAGATTAATCAGCGCTCGATCAAGCCTTTCCTGGACATTTGCAGACCCTAGTCTATTGTTGGACCAGGTAAAACAAGGACCACTAAAGCTCAATTTCACCAGACTACAATCCGATATAAGCTATTGAAGTTCCTCAACCCTCCTAATATTACACACATTACCATCTTCCTTGTCCCCCAAAGATCCAATCACATTAAAATTCCCTGCCACCAGCTATTACACATTAAAATCACATTAAAATGCCCTGCCTCCGAATATTACACACATTATCGAGTCATCGAAATTAACTTCACCCATAATCCTTGTCTAGTTTTAAACTTCGAATCCGCATAAATGAAAGTGCACTGCCATAAAGAAGGAAGACTGGGAAGTTTGCACCGAACGTTTATCAAGTTCATATTCTTCTCAACAACATGGAGGTCAAATCCCTCCCTCCACCAGAGAGCCAGTCCACCCGAAAGACCAACAGGATCCACATAATCAAAAAATTGGAATTTGAGAGATCTTCTCAACCGCTCTAACTTATGAGACTTATATTTGGTCTCCTTAAGAAAAACGATTGAGGGACGATGGGTATCAATGAGTCCTTGTAGATTACGGACTGTCCGGGGTCGTCCCACTCCCCTGACAGTTCCAAGAGAGAATCAACATGGCTCGTGTGGCTGTTTAAGGTCAGCTACCACCACCTTTTTAGAAGCACAAACAACATTACCCTAATCAGACATTTCCTTAGCAGGCTAGGCAAACAACTGAGACATGCAACAATTGAGATTGTTCTCTCCATTCCCTTTAATTTGATCCATATTCTCTTCCTCAGAGTCTCTAATAATCTGTTGATCTGCAACACCCGTAATGGAAACATACAGCTCAGCTTGAGATCAATCTCCTCCGCTCACTACTTTACCGGGTTTGCTCCTCTTTGCTCTTCTCCTTAGAGCATGTTTTCTCTCAAAGTCCACAAGAAACATATCAATAGCAAGGGGTGGGCCAAAATATGTAAAAGAGTGGGGAAGAGCCTCTGGGCCACTATCCGAAAAAGCTTTGCATTTTTTCCATGGACCTGGTTGGGCCTTCATCTCATCGCAATTCAAATGGGCTCTCTTTTTTAAAGACATCGTCTGAAAATGGGTCTCTATAACGTCCCTCTACACCTCCTATTCACTATTAGATATGATAAGAACCTCCTTTGCACACGTCTGTTGGGACTCCTGGTTGTCCGATGGTTCAAAGACATAGTAGGACCCCTTCTTGACACAACCAAAGTATTTGGATCCTCCTGAAAAAAAGACAATGATAAAGAAAGACTTTGGTCCCACTCTTGGTCCTCCGTGACATAAGGAACCAGAGAGAGAGGAACAGAAAGAGAATGGCCCTGGGGCTTGCATTGTGGCCCATGCAAGGGACGTTCCACATTCAGGGGTTGTGGCCTCCTACTGCCATTCCTTCGAACATTGAGATCATAAGAAGAAGCAGCCTTATCAGTCCTATCACCATCAAAACTCCTACAATTCTCTGAATCAGAGCCCTCTTTGGGGATCCGAGCTTTACCTTTAAGTTTTTCCTTCCACTCCATATCCTCACGTGTTTTTGGGGACCAAGTTTCTCTAAAGAATCCCGAAGATTGACCGCTTGATGCTCGCATCTCCGGCCCATAGAAAGCGTTAGACCTAGACATCCTTATTTCTTTACACTGGCTTTGAGAATGGTCAATCCGCCCACAATGATAGTAGAAATCCGACAATTTCTCATACTTCAAATTAATCCAAATATCATCCTGATCTTCACGTGACAAGAAGAAACCCTTTTTCAGGGGTTCAGTCAGGTTAATCCTATACTTCACTCTCATGAAGCTGCGATGAATTTGGNATTTCTTTACACTGGCTTTGAGAATGGTCAATCCGCCCACAATGATAGCAGAAATCCGACAATTTCTCATACTTCAAATTAATCCAAATATCATCCTGATCTTCACGTGACAAGAAGAAACCCTTTTTTAGGGGTTCAGTCAGGTTAATCCTATACTTCACTCTCATGAAGCTGCGATGAATTTGGACCCCCCCTCAAACTCCTCCAGTTGGGTTGGTTCACCAATAATCTTCCCAATATGTCAAGAGTTATTCTTGATCATCATATCAAGTGGAAGCCCCCAAATTTGAACCCAGAATTCAGCCTGCTGAAAATTGAAATCACCGATAATGAACTGTGATTGGTACACTTTCAACACCAAAAGAACCCCAGAGACCGACCACGGACCTTCCTTAAGGATCTTATCCCCGTCCTCTTCATCCTTAAATATAAACAAGAATGTATTTCTCTCCCAATAGGTTATTGAGAAACCTTTGGAAGTCTTCCAAGAGCTTTGTAGCACATTACAAACCCCCATCCTATTAAGGGTAGTATCAATGAAGAATCTGCCCACAAGGCAGAATTTCTCAAAAGTCNTGGACCTTCCTTAAGGATCTTATCCCCGTCCTCTTCATCCTTAAATATAAACAAGAAGGTATTTCTCTCCCAATAGGTTATTGAGAAACCTTTGGAAGTCTTCCAAGAACTTTGTAGCACATTACAAACCCCCATCCTATTAAGGGTAGTATCAATGAAGAATCTGCCCACAAGGCAGAATTTCTCAAAAGTCTTGGAAGTGTTAGGGTTTGAGAAGAGAGAAATCCGTGGGTGGTGAATGGCATGAGATTCGGCTTTCGAGTATTTATCCATTGAAGATCAAGGGGAATAGTGAGTTTAGAGAGAAGAAAATGAGGCAAAAACACAAGGGAGAAGGCTGAAAGGGATAGAATAGAAAGGTGGGTTTGGGTTGGGGGTGTGATTCTAAGAAAGAGGAACCTAAAGGGGAAGCAAAAGAAATTNTCGAGTATTTATCCATTGAAGATCAAGGGGAACAGTGAGTTTAGAGAGAAGAAAATGAGGCAAAAACACAAGGGAGAAGGCTGAAAGGGATAGAATAGAAAGGTGGGTGGTTTGGGTTGGGGGTGTGATTCTAAGAAAGAGGAACCTAAAGGGGAAGCAAAAGAAATTAACTTAATTTGCTAATTTAATAATATTGTTTTAATAAAACCATTAAATTATTATCAAATTTTAATATTTAATAAAATTCATAATTAAATCAAAAATTATAATAAATTAAATCTAAATGATATTACTCTAAAAAATTATAATTTTCTATGCGATATCATAAACTTTCATCAATAGAGTTAAATCAAACGTCAGTGAGTACACCTTGAACTTCTCGAGGCTGAGCCACATCCGAAAGAGCTCTCTTTTCAGCCTCTGGGCGTCTCTCTCTATCTCTCCGTGAAGAGTGAAGAAGACCATAGCTTTAGTAGAAGACACCCGTTTTGATTATTAGCGTAAAGCCTTGAAAAGTACCGGTCTTCCTCTGTTTGTTGCCTCGTAGCTTCCTTTGATTGGTGATCTCTCTTTCTCTCTGAATTTTTTAAACGTTCGCTGCTTAATGGGAAGAGATAGTAGTAATGGCTNACATCCGAAAGAGCTCTCTTTTCAGCCTCTGGGCGTCTCTCTCTATCTCTCCGTGAAGAGTGAAGAAGACCATAGCTTTAGTAGAAGACACCCGTTTTGATTATTAGCGTAAAGCCTTGAAAAGTACCGGTCTTCCTCTGTTTGTTGCCTCGTAGCTTCCTTTGATTGGTGATCTCTCTTTCTCTCTGAATTTTTTAAACGTTCGCTGCTTAATGGGAAGAGATAGTAGTAATGGCTGGGGGCTATTACCAGCACCGAGTGTAGCTCCGGTGAGTAATAGTGTAGAGAGAGAAGGGCATTGGAAAAACTTAGACAGCTCTGTCAATGCGGTGTCTTTTGGGTTTGTCGCCACCGCGATTCTCATTTCTATGTTCCTTGTTATGGCTATTTTTGAGAGGTTTCTCCGGTCGAGATCTCCGGCGGCCAGTGGCCGGAGTGGTGGGGATCTCGCGGCACAAATGATGGCCAATGGGAAGCTCAGTTACCCATCTCCCAGAGTACGCCCTCTCTCTCTCTCTCTCTCTCTCTCTCTCTCTCTTAACTATGGCTGTGCGGATTTCAATTAGTGCTGCTTTCGCATATTCGTTTCTGGGTATATGAAGTTTCTTCCATTAAGTAAAGAAAGTATATGTCTTTTGAAGATAATAGAAATGCCTTCTCTCTCTCTCCCCCCCCCCCTTCCCCCCAATTTCTAGCTGTCTATGTTCTGTGGAAATGCACCTTCAGCCTTCTAAGCTAGGTGGTAATTAATGTCTGTAATTCGATTTTTCTCATTTCCTACTAGTACCCAAAAGCATAAAAGAAAATTTTTTTGTGCAAATGCGATGGGTAGACCATTTTTCCATGTCATTTTTTTACCTTTCTGTTATGTTTAATTAGGGCTAATTTATGCAATTTGAGTAATGTTGGTATTAGTTGTAAGTGGGTCCTCTCAAATTATACCTTCAAGTTAATATCTCTGACCACATTTTGGTGATGGGGATGATACAGTAATTTGTCTGGTGTTCATATTATCTGCTTTACTCATATTTCTGTAGAATTTTCTAAATTCAACCTGAAAGCAGGCTACCTTTTTTATGGAGAAAGTAGTGACTTTGATGGATGTAAAGACAAAAACCTTGTTGTCTACTGTTTGCTTTAGACAAAGAATCACATGAACAATAAACATGGACTACCCATCTATTCTATTGTGTATAGGCCATCCTTTAGTAGGTCCTCTATTGGATCCCTATGTTGGGATACGGCTATTTTTATGCTAACCTGATGATCTTCAACCACCAGCAACACCATTTTTTTTTAAGTCGCTCAATGGCAAACATGGTTTAAGTCAGTCAACCACCAGCAACACCATGCTAACCTAAATGATGCTATTAGGTATTTTGGACTTTGTAGAGAAAATGTTGTCCGTGTTACAATTTACACTTTCATCACAAGTTTAAGTACAAAAATTTGATCATGAAGGAGAGGAGGGAAGGGGAGTGGGGAGGCATCTGTAATCACCCGTAAATATACGGCATCTGGAATCACTGCTGTTAGAGTATTCATAATAAGGGTAGTTTAGGCATTTTCTTTATGTTGTGTTGCCCTATTATATAAGGGTTACTTTGTGTATTTTTAGGTTAAGCTGTGAATTACAGAATTTTTTATGAATAATATATTCTCTCTTTCTCTTTCTCTTCTTTATTCTCATTGATCAATTTTATCATGGTATTAGAGTATGGTTTGATCTTAGCACTCTTAAATTTTTTTTAAGAACACAACAGATGCTTCATCCTCTTTTGAACTAGGGCTGACATCATCAAGTTAGGGCTGACGTCATCAATCTGTCATGCTGACGTCATCAAACTGGAGCAAGGAGAGTACTACAATACTCGATTCTTCATGGGCTTTACAATGGTATGCTTTGTTTTTGATTTGGAGGTCATCGGATAGAGTTTTCTAATTTTTGAATGATTTTTTCAAAAATCTCGGCCCTATTTTTCGATCTGTGAATTGGGGCTATCTTTCTCGAATTATTTGCTTCCAATCGAGTTTAAAGGGTGCGATGAAGAGTATAGGCTGGCTGTTTGTGTGATTNATCATCAATCTGTCATTGCTGACGTCATCAAACTGGAGCAAGGAGAGTACTACAGTACTCGATTCTTCATGGGCTTTACAATGGTATGCTTTGTTTTTGATTTGGAGGTCATCGGATAGGGTTTTCTAATTTTTGAATGATTTTTCAAAAAATCTCGGCCCTATTTTTCGATCTGTGAATTGGGGCTATCTTTCTCGAATTATTTGCTTCCAATCGAGTTTAAAGGGTGCGATGAAGAGTATAGGCTGGCTGTTTGTGTGATTTGAAGGTCTTTGGTTTGATTTTGGGTGTCTATTTGTTGCTTGGGACTGTCGGGCTACTGTTCACGATAAGAACAGTAGCCGAAAGTCTTTGTGGGTTGCTTTGATCTTCAAATCTTCAGCTGTGGGTGGTTTACTTGTTGTGGCTTTGGCAATTCTGGATTGGTTGGCTTGTTTTGGTAGCTGTGGGTGAGTTGGGTTTTTTCCTTGCTTTGGTAGTTGATTATTTGCTTTACTGGATTTTTGGCTTATTTGGTGTTACTGCTTCTTTGGGCTGCTGAGTTTGAATTTGACTGTGGTGCCGATTGATAATTGTTACTACAATGGCAAGTGGTCACTCTGATTCACTTCAAGTCATTTGTGTGAGACTAATTGGTGGAAATTATGTNTTGGTTGGCTTGTTTTGGTAGCTGTGGGTGAGTTGGGTTTTTTCCTTGCTTCGGTAGTTGATTATTTGCTTTACTGGATTTTTAGCTTATTTGGTGTTACTGCTTCTTTGGGCTGCTGAGTTTGAATTTGACTGTGGTGCCGATTGATAATTGTTACTACAATGGCAAGTGGTCACTCTGATTCACTTCAAGTCATTTGTGTGAGACTAATTGGTGGAAATTATGTTTATTGGACTTATGTTATGAAAAAAAATTTGTTGGGGAAAGACATGTAGAATTATATTAGTGGTGTTGTACAGCCTCCAACTGATACTAAGACAGAAAATTATGCTGATTTGAAGAGTACTTGGGATATTAACAATGCGAAAATTATCACCTGGATTAATAACTCAGTTGATCAGACCATTGGGGTTCATCTATCCAAGTTTACCACTACTAAGGAAATTTGAGATTATTTGGCCTCACTTTTTATTCAGTCTAATTTTGCAAAGAGGTATCAGCTAGAGCATGAGATTCGAGATGTGCGTCAAGGGGACAAAACCATTCAAGAATTCTATTTTGTTATGACTGGTTTCTGGGATCAGTTAGCACTTACTGNAGATTATTTGGCCACACTTTTTATTCAGTCTAATTTTGCAAAGAGGTATCAGCTAGAGCATGAGATTCGAGATGTGCGTCAAGGGGACAAAACCATTCAAGAATTCTATTTTGTTATGACTGGTTTCTGGGATCAGTTAGCACTTACTGAACCCACTGAGTTGAGCATTAATCTGGCATATCGCACCTTCAGAGAGGAACAGAGACTAGTGCAATTCTTGATGACCCTTAGGGATGGCTTCGAGGGATTTTGTGGTTCCATTCTTCATCGACACCCACTCCTCTCAGTGGATGTAGTTGTTAATGAGCTCTTAGCTGAAGAGGTTTGNACTGGTGCAATTCTTGATGACCCTTAGGGATGGCTTCGAGGGACTTCGTGGTTCCATTCTTCATCGACACCCACTCCTCTCAGTGGATGTAGTTGTTAATGAGCTCTTAGCTGAAGAGGTTTGCCTTAAAACTCTTTCTGGAAAGGGTCGTCTTCCACTACCAAATCAGACTGTCTTGGCTATTCCTTCCAAAGTGGCTTCTAATTCCCAAAACAAATTTCGAGGTCGAGTTGCTTCTAATGAGTGTAGCTTCTGTTATGAAAAGGGCAACTGGAAGGTCCAATGTCCAAAGTTGATGAACAAGAATGCACCAGGATCTCAAAATCAGTCATTTAAGTCCAGAGGATGAGTTAGCTTCATCAGCTCCCAACTTGACTATGCTTGCAGATCAGCTATAGAAGTTTCTCTCTCTTCATCAGCCTGGTGCTCTCACAGTTTCTCCCACTATAGGNAACGTCATACAGCGGCCGTAGCACCACCAGTGGATGAGTTAGCTTCATCAGCTCCCAACCTGACTATGCTTGCAGATCAGCTACATAAGTTTTTCTCTCTTCATCAGCCTGGTGCTCTCACAGTTTCTCCCACTATAGGTTTGTTCAGCTCAGGTCCTTTAGGTATATCACGAATTGCCTGGGTCTTTGACTCAGGTGCCACACATCATATGACTAGTGACTCCTCTTTGTTTGCATCTATTGTTTCTCCTCCCTCTTTATCTATCCTTGCTGCCAATGGTTCTCACATGTCATTAGTTGGTGTTGGGACCATTATTTCTTCCAACCTTACACTTTCAGATGTCTATTATATTCCTCAACGTACTTTGAATTTACTTTCAGTCAGTCAACTATTTGATTCTGAATTTTTGGTTCATTTCTCTTCCTCTGGTTGTGTTGTGTAGGATCCACGGTCTAAGAAGCTGATTGGGACTGGTCGTAGACAGGGCGGGTTATATGTGCCAGAGGAGCTGCATGTCCCAGTTGCTGATGCTGCTGTTTCTACTGTTGATTTATCTTCTTTTCGTTTGAGTCTAGAGTCATCTAGTTTTTATTTATGGCATTCTCGTCTTGGTCATGTTTCTTATTCTCGTTTAAAATTTTTAGCTTCGACTGGTAGTTTGGGTAGTTTAGGAAGCCATGACATTTCTGATTGTAGTGGATGCAAGTTGGCTAAATTTAGTGCAATTTCATTCAATAAAAGTGTTACTTGATCTCTTGCACCATTTGATCTTGTTCACTCTGATATACGGGGATCAGCTCCTATTCCTACACAAGGAGGGTCCGAATATTATGTTTCATTTATTGATAATTATACGAGGTACTGTGGGATATTCTTGATGAAACGTTGGTCTGAATTCTTTTTTATCTTCATTACCTTTCGTAACATGGTATGCACTCAATATTCCGCAGTCATTAAATGTTTGCGATGTGATCAGGGTGGTAAATATACTCTTACTTCTTTTCATGATCTGTTGAAATCTGATGGTACATTATCAATCTTCTTGCACTGACACACCTGAGCAGAATGGTGTTGTTGAACAAAAACACCGTCATATTCTAGAGATAGTACGTTCTCTTCTTTTATCAGCACATGTTCCCAGCTCATTTTGGGGGGAAGCAATTTTGACAGCAGTTCATATGATCAACACCATTCCTACTATGCTCACTTCTGGAGTTTCTCTATTTGAAAAGGTATGTGGTAAGCCTCCTAACTATTTTTCTTTACGTGTGTTTGGTTGTACCTGTTTTGTTTTGCTTCCTAGTGTTCTTCGTACCAAACTTTCTGCCCGTTCAGCTTTATGTGTATTTTTTGATTATGGTGAGGGTCAAAAAAGGTATCATTGCTATGATC